TGTCTTGCTGTAATTATGTGGGTCTTCAAATCAGGCTGGACCCTCTGGAGCCTAGTTTCTGGGGTTGAGGTAGATATTTTGTTTCCTCTCAACTGGGGTAGGGGTTGACATCAGTTAAATGGGCCCAGCCACCCTTCATACATGACTGGGGTTGGTGTCCAAATGGATTTCTTTTGGAAATCCTTCCAATTATAAATCATCCCTATGGCATCTTCCACAAGCACCTGCAGTGAATGCCAAACATTTTTTGCCAGGTGTTATGGCTGCTAGGAATTGTACCAAGATAGACAGAGGCAGTTTTTGAAAGAGCAAGAGGAACTTGCAATGAGATTCAGGGTCGTGATTTTGAATGTTTCATATACTGAGTCCAAGGGAAGCTTGACTTTCCTGTTTTATCCTCCCCCTGGTAGTTCCCAGTGGCCATGGCATGGTCGCAGGAGCTTGGGCTGGCAGCATGGCTCCACATCTCTGTGGCACCTGAGAGTTCCCAGTTTCTTCTGAGTCTCTATAATACATAGGTCTTAAAACTAGAAGGTTTCTTGTGATCATCTTGTTCCTGCGTACCAGGAAGAAAGAAGTCTCAGAGTTGAAGATGGCGTATGGGCTACGAGGTTGTATCCAGCCCCCAATGCCAATTGCTGTCTGGGTGTATTAACTTCAATCTCATGAACATTGCTTCTCAACTTATTGGTTAAAAGGAAGAAAATCCAGAGATGATGGCTTTAAAATGCTTCATAAGTGAGGTGTGGTGGTGCATGCCTGAGATCCCAGCACACTGGGAGGTTGCAGCAAGAAGATTACTAGTTTAAACTGAGCCTAAGTGACTCAGAGAAGCTCTGTCTCAAAATAAAAATACATGAAGGGCTGGAGATGTAGCTCAATGTGAAGGCTCTGGGTTCAATACCCTGTACTTCAAAAAATTGCTTATTATGTATATTTCTGTCTCCTGAATATGTTTGAATAGTTAACCTCTGAGTCAAGTCAGACCAATAGGATGAGTTATATAGGTCATTTGGCATTGGACCCCAATGAGTTACTTTCTGGAGGTGTGTGTTTGGATGATGCTAACAGTCTCATGAAATTGGCCGTGCATTCCTGATGTGGATGTTGGTTCAGATATAGATATTGTTTTGTTATGGGATAGGAGTTTTCCATTAAGATTCTTCCTGAAGAAAAGTTCTTGTTTGGTCTAAACTCCTGGATTTGTTGTCATTTTCCTGATCAGCTGGACTTTGATTGCATGAACACAGTGTTCAAAACCTGGCCAGTTTTTCCATTTAATATAAGGTGTCAGGAAGCTTAGAGCCAAACATGTAACCCCCTTTGAGTAAGTAGGTATGTGGGAAATCTTAGAGTGGATTTGCAACTCCCTTGTTATGTCCTGATTTTCTTTCTTTTATAGCCCCATTTGATTTTTGCTGCAGTGCTGTATTTGTTGTTTCTATGTTGGGGCTGCTTAAGCTGTACCACTGAATAGTGACACACATCCCTTGAACTGTAGTATATGTTCTAAGTTTACCCAAAACATGATAGGCCACTTAACTTTACCTTGCCTTACTTCCTGCTTTGCTGGAAGCCCATAAGCTCCATTGGAAAGTCATGATCCATGTGTACTGCCAAGATTCAGGGGTGTGTGTGTGTGTGTGTGTGTGTGTGTGTGTGTGAGTGAGAGAGAGAGAGACAGACAGACAGACAGAAAGAGAGAGACAGAAAGAGAAACAGGCAGAGACAGAGAGACAGAACTGTTTCTAGAGATTCTTCTGTAGGAGGGACATTAATATTCCCATAAGGGATGACAAATTCCAGCAGAACAGATAGAATTGGCTGCAAGGCCTGAATATCTCAAAGAAATAGTGGCTCAAGATAGAATACAAGGCTGCTTTTGATTTCACTCTGAGGGCTCCTCCATAGCTTTGAAGGTCCTCACTGCAAGAAGCCCGGGACCCCAGTATCAAAAGTCAGACTGCTAGAAGAGAAAACATTTTCTCACTGTATACTGATTGAGTTCACTGGCATTCAGCAGATGGGAAAAGCAAGATGGTTTAGGAAATTGTTGTAAAGAGGCGATGTGTCTCTGGTTTCTGAGAGCCGAGACCTGTTGGCAGTTGGTTCAGAAGTAGCTTTCTATCTATGATATTGTGCAGAAGCAAGGAAGTGAGGGCTGAGCAACTGGCCAGTGGGCTAAGGCCAATTGTCAGAGTGATGTTGCTGTGATTCATGACCTGAGATGCCCAAAGGTTTACCTGTAAAACCTCCTAATTCTTGTCTAGAGGAAGGCAGAGAATCTATGTAATTAAGCCATTAACTAAAATGGATTAATTCCTTTCTCTTTGAGCAGCAACACCTCTGCGTGTGAAAGTACCTGTGTTTGTGTGTTTGTCTTTCCCTGTGCTCTGCAAATTTTGTGTGAGTAAGGATCACATCAGTTGTGTTCATCAGCTTCGCATCACTGTGGCATAGTACCTGACATTACTTAAAAAGGAGGAAAGTTTTACTTTGGCTCACGGTTTTGGAGGTTCAGTTCCATGGTAAGGTCATTTCCTTGCTGTGAGTCTGAGGTGAAGCAGAACTTCTGGTGGAGCAAAATTGCTCACTTCATGGCATCTGGGAAGCAGAGGGAGAAGGAAAGCACCCAAAAGAAAAGAATTGGTTACCAGATATAGTCCCTAACTGTTTGCTCTCATGACCTGCTTATCCACAAAGGTCCTGCCTCCTAACAAGCCCAGTGAGCTGTGAACTTATGAATAGATTAATCCATTAATGTGGTTAGAACTTTCCTCGTTGAGTTACTTCCAAAAGGTGAAGCCATCAGCTGGCAACAAAGTCACAACATTTGTCAGTCCTGTAGCCTTGCACAGAACTCACTAAAAAAGGCCACTGTTGAAAATGTTTCTAGAATAAACAAGGAAATGGATTCGAATTGAGAGAACCAACTACACTCAAAGCCTTTTATCTTTCTGGTTCCCTCTCTTTACCTTAAAAGAGAAAGATTTGTCCTTCATTTGGGGAAATAGCTTTCTCTCTGATCTATTAGAAAGAACATGAGATCTGTAGATAGTTTGCTATGGTTTTAATCATGGGTCCAACACTACCCTTCTGTGTGGCTTGTACAGTTCATTAGTCCCTTGATACACCAATTACCTTACATTTAAAGTAGGGATGAAATATGTTTCACACAGTTGTGAGGATCAAGTGAAAACTAATCATCAGGCAGTCAGTGTCTAATATACTGCTTTGCTGGAGTCAATACCCAGGAAAGCATGCATCTTAGTTATTTTTAAAAACCATTATAGAAAGGTATGACACTTCTTATATTAGTCAGAATGCACAGGGCTCTGCTGTGTTAACAGCTAAACCCTAAGAAATCACTGGCATAAGAAAAAAAGGTTTCTATTTTGCTTTCCAGAAGCTAAATACTGATACTACTGGTCAGGTAACCTTCTGGATGAGTCTCCTCCAATAACTGCCTTAAGGATCTAGAGTTCTTTCCTGGGTACCACTTCTCCACCACAGCATTGAAGGTCCTCACAAAGGAGAGTGAAAGGATTGCTTTTAAGAGATTCTTTTCATGGGTTAGTCCTGCACATGGTTGGTATCTTTATTACAGGTTTCCAGCATTTGCCACACAGTCATCTCTAGATACAAGGAGGCTTAGAAACAGTGTTCTGTGTAGAGGAATAAGGAATAAACGAAACCTTTGATGTGCACAGCCATGTCTTGGCCATGCTGTCCTTCTCTTGTTTAAATCCACAGTCTAGAGGGATCTCAATCAGCTGTTCCCAGGAACACACTTGGCATATAAGCATTTTCTCTATAGCAGACATTCTATGTGTGGTGGGGGATTATATGGGTGTTTAATGGAGGGTGATGGTGGTAGGATGAGATCTCTTAGCATCAAGGAGACAGGGAAAGAATGGAGAAGATAGACAGTGTATGAAATGGGTTTTGGAGGCCAGCCGGTAGGCTGGTAGAAGGTTATTCTTGCTGCCACAGCCTCATGTCTGTGGGCTGCCTCTGAAATACCCTTCCTTCTTTTCTCCACTCATGGGGAGGCTGCCATCTTTCTGAACCCTGTTAGTTCTCCTCCTTTTCTTTCTCTGACCCCTCCAGAATATAGCAGGTTCCTCTTTCCCTGGTCACATAAGCATCTCCTAGGTGGAGCCTCCATTCTACATCCCATGTCTCTTTCAGTGTCACCCTGAGGGAGTTTAGCACCCAAACTCGGGGCATCCTTGTCAGAATCAAATAAGCATAACTTACTGTCAAATGGTGGATGGCTTGAACTTTAGGTTGGAAGGAAAAGCTTTAAACACTATCAGCATTAACTGTACTATCAACCAGGAGTTTGATGATCTGATTCCTCACAAATTCTTTTCCTAGTCAATGAAAAATGAGTTTTCAAACTGCATTTACGGAGCAGAAAGTGGAGATGGAGACATATTCTGTACCAGTTACTGTTTTTCATATGTTAATCCATTTACCTGTATTTCTATAAGGTGGATATTTTCCTCTATATCACAGCTGGGGAAACTGAGACACACAGGTGTTAAGCACGTGACCCCAGCTCACACAGCATTGCAAAGCTGAAGGATGGGTCTAGTTTTATTAAACTCTGAAGCAAGTGCTCTTTGTGCTGCATCCCTGCAATCCTCCACATTGCAGGAAGCAATTACAGAGGCATGCCCTGGCATTCATTTTTCCTACTTAGCGTGAGACGTTGCTGTTTACTTTCTCAGGAAGGAAGATTGAAATCAATGTAACTAGCCTTATTAACTTTTTAAAACAGGGGGGCCTGCAGATGCCAGTGCCTTTCCTGAGAGCACCAAAGCTAATATAAAAATCCAATTTGCTCGCCTTTTGAAAAAAGTCTTCTCTCGGGTTTAAAATTCAAAGCTGTAAATGAAGAGCCGATGAGACAGGGGTAACGAACCAAGTCTCAGACACAAGGATGTACTTACCCATCTCTCTTTTGTCTGCAGGAGGCTGTTCCTTTGATGAGCACTACAGCAACTGTGGTTACAGTGTGGCCCTGGGGACCAATGGATTCACCTGGGAGCAGATTAACACATGGGAGAAACCCATGCTGGACCCAGCAGTGCCCACAGGTACGTGATCTATCGGGCTTGGGGCTGTAATGGTGATGCTTAGCTTTTACAGTGACTCACGGGGGAAGAACTTTTGTAAGACTGAGCTGTCTGAGAGGACAATAGGTAACTGCAGGCACTGAGTTCTCTGTCCCCAGAGTGAACTCTTCACAATGTAGTGAGAGGCACATGTCACCTGGATTTGGGCACCTTTAGGAATTCCTTTAACTTTGAGGTTCTAAACTCTAAGTGTACATCAGACGTCACTAAGTTTTGCTTGGAAGTTTGATAGCAGTGGGATTTTAGGAGAGAATGGGCTACAGAAGAATTTGATGTCTCTTGTTTGCTCCAGGCCGCACAGACACAAGTTGGTACTCCTAAAAGCAGAGTATTATTCATAGTTAATATCCTTATGTCCTGAATACCTAGCTTATCTTTTACCTATAGGCTCGAAAGTCCAATGTAATTCTTGATGGATACTTGTATGTGGCAAACCTCATGGATACTAGTACAACAGATACTTGTATGAGGTAAGCCGGATGTTCCCTGGGGGAAGTACCTCTTCCTCAGGGAGAACACTTTGAGTGGGGTGTATGTGGATGAGGTAAATCTCAAAAAGGCTTACCTGGTGATGTCAGCCAGGAAGAACTGCAGCTCTTGGAAAGTGAAGATCACCCTCTGGTAGAGTTGATAAGACAATGGTTGTTGGAGAAGATAGCCATCCTCCACACGGAAGACCAGAGGTTCATGTAGCCCACATGCCATCTTGGTTTTCCACCACCCCTTCTTGATGCTTCTCTCCTGCTCTCCTTTGCCAGCTTACTCTGGGTTTTGAATGCTGCAGTTCTTTGAGCTTGCTGGATACCCTTTCCACACATGGCCTCAGCTACTGTCCATTTGTACACTGGTAATTCCGACATTTATGCCTCCAGCCTGGATGTTTCTTAGGAACTTTAGACCTACACAGCTCATTACCTGGCTACCGTGTGTTCCAGGCAACCTCTTCAGAAGCACATTTTTCAGTTGCAACTAAGCTGGAGGCATGGAAGATGGTCAGAAGTGTCTAGAGGAGTGTACGGCCTTCCTGACTGAGTTTGGCTCCAAAGCAGGAGGCTTTGGGTGGCTCTACCTATACCTATTAAGGACATGCATTGTATTTATTTCTCTTGAGAGCTGTCAGAAGCCTTTAGTGTAATAAAGCTGTGCTGTGGTACAAAATTAAACATTTCAGATTGCTCTGCGAATACCAGAGACCTGTCGCGACCTCTAGGCTCTGTGGCTGGGCCCGCCTCAACCTCCAGCTGCATCCAGTTCCACTTGCCCTGTGCCCAATTTCCTCTGGCTTCTGTCAGTTTCCAGAAGAGTCTGACTTTGCTGCTTCATACAACATCAGGGTTCTGCATGGAGCTCTTTCCTTCCTCTTCCTGTCCAGTACTTCCTTGTCATACTTCAGTCTGGACCTGCTCTCTTTGTAATGACTCCAGCTGGACAGTGCATTTTTTCCAGTGAAATGCATCATAGCTGGTGTTATTCACTGTGTGCTTTGCCCCCAGCTGAGATGTTCCTTGCAACTGGAAGCCAGGACAGTGCCATTCAGAGCTTAATCTTCAGTGCCTAATGCAGTGTGTCCTGCAGAGTGTGTTCTAAATGACATCTTGTTAAAGGATGCATGGGTGGATGGGCAAATAGTCTTAATCAAGGGTTTTGTAATGCAGGAATGAAAGATAAAGATTACTGAAGGCCTTTGGGCCCTGCACTAACTGATCACATATTTTTTTTTTCCCTTTGCTGCTGTCCTTCCCATCTTACAGATTAGAAAATCAAGACTGCAAGCAGGCAGCTGAGTGGGATGGCGGCTTTCTCCCATGCCATTGTCTCTGCCCAAAGACATGATGCTTGCTTCTAATCTTAATTTTTTCAGTCTCTCATTACAGCAGAGTGTCATTTCATAAATATTGGATTGTGCTAATACAATCTTCTGAGCTTTTCTAAATAGAGGCATTTGATAATGATCACTGAAATTATTCTGTCATGATGTGCCTGTGGATTTCAGTGGCTCTGCAGGCTGCTTATGCAGAGAGGCATGAAACTGAATTTGGATTAGGCGACACAGTTTGTTCCTCTCATAGGCCAAGGCTGAAATCTTATTTCTTCTGTACATCCAGCATTTTCTATCTTTTCCCAAATCTGGTTTGAGTCTATTTATTCCAATGTTCCACAGCCTTTTATCGATCTCCTTTGTGTGACAAGCTGTGGGTTATACTTGGTCTGAGTGAATCCAGCCATGTAATTTTGACATTTAATCCCTTCCCCGACCTGGCATATAGATATAATCTGAATACCTCACCATGGCCTGTCGGGTCTTGCATGATTTAATGTCATCTCTGAGCCCTTTTCTTCTCTCTTGAAATCCTCCAGACACCCTGGCTGGTTTTGATTTGTTGGCTAGTTCAGAGTCTTTCTTGGCACAGGACCTTTGCACATGCTGTTGCCTCTTGCTGGGAATGATTTCTCCACCTTTCACGTGGATGATTTCTTTAGATCTCAACACTTACAACTTCCTGCAAAAATCCTTCCTCATCTGTTATCTAAAAGCCATTTCTTTTATTGTTCTACTTGTAATGTCTTCTTTGTTTTCAAAGACCTTGCTAGAGACATATTTACAGATCATCTTATTCCAATCTTACATCATAGCTGAGCAACCCGGGAGCCTCAATCTTTCTGCCTCAGTTTCCTCATCTTTAACTTGGGGACTAGAGTGAGAGAGTTCAATGGAGGATACCTGTGTGTGTGAACTTTCTGTACAGCGCAGGGCTCAGGCAGTGTTGGGGTCCTTAGATTCTTCTCTGATTCCTACAGTGTGTGGGACAATAGGTCTAAGTCCATTTTAACACTTGTTCCTCCTTCAAGTTGCCCTGGACCCAGAGCTGCCTTTTGAGGGAGCTTACCAGCAGGTGGTTGGCCAAGGCCCAACTGGCCAGAGAAGCTTTCCACTTCCTAGAAGGCATCACTGCCTGGAGGGCTTGGCTGCCTCCTCCAGCTCAGCCCTACCTAACTCAAATGCTGCACAAGATGTTCTTTCTGTCTTGCTCTTCTTTCTCTAGAAGAAAAGACCTCAGGCTAGCATCCCAGGCTTCAGACATGCTTTCCCCCTTGTCATCTCTACTGGGGCTGTCACCGAGGAATGAGGGTTACCACACCTATAAACTCTTTTCTGGGCACGTTGTGTCCGTGGAGCCCATGGAGCTGGCAGCAACTAACCTGGTCTTTTTCCCCATAGCAGCCCTCACCTGCGGCCCAGAGCCTAGTAGGACCTGGTGGGGCTGATGGGAAATGTAAGTGCTACATGTGTCTTTTTCAAAGGCTGAAGTACCAGGGGTTGGGAGGTTCCTTCTAATGCTGTACAACAGTGTTTTAAGGACTGGGAATAAAGTAGGGTCAAATCTCAGGCAGCACCCCTAGGTGCAGAAGACATGGTGCATTTATTTCTTCCTTTTACATCAACTTGACTCTGATCTTGAGCCCCTAGGAAGTTGATGTGTTAAATTTAGGCACTGTTTTAGCTACTTCTCTTGGTGCTAAGACAAAATACCTGACACCCAAAGTTAAAGGAGGAAGGTTTGTTTAGCTCACAATTTGTGGAGGTTTCAGTCCATAATGGGCTGGTTCCAAGGCAGGTGGCATATGGCAGAGGGGCAAGCACTCATGAAAGGGGAAGACAGCAAAAGCAACAAGAGAGAAAAAACAAGCCTTTCTCTGTCCCTTATCTTGTATCCAGTCTACTGGGATTAGGGTGGTATCAATCTAGTTACTGGCCTGATCCAGTAATCACCCACCCTTAATCCCAGCACTCTTAATCCTATCACTGAACCATGACTCAGTCACAAATTCCAGATTCAGCTACCAAGAAAAAAACCCTCTCTAAAAGTGCATGAGGATTTGGGGGACATCTAAACACAAACAGGCACTATCGGAGCATCTCCTTTCCTAGGGTTCTGTGAATGTATAAAAGATGTAAACTAGTTAACTGTGACTTCCTCTCTACATTTCCTGTGGTCCCTGTGTCATGCTTTTGCTGCTTTATAAGGCGGGGAATGCTTATTATATGGGTCTTACCAGCCCCAGGGACTCACCCAACACCCCTCCTGGGAATTCCCCTCTTCCAATTGCCCTTGAGCAGGATGGGACCAGCAGACACTGCCTTGTGACCTTCCTGTGGTGAGAATTTTTCTCTCTCTCCCCCGCATTATACCCCTTAAAGGCAAACTCTACGTCTAACCCAGGGCATAGTCTCCGTCGTAAATTTAGATTTTAGTGATACAACAACAACAAAAAGGAAGTCTTGAAGCAGCTTCCTCTCTTTGCTTCTCCTGCACACTTTGCTAGAGAAGAAAAATACAGAGTCTGATAGTTGCCTGCTGGAAAGGGAGAAGGACCAGGGAAACCCAGGGAGAATGTCCATATATTCACTCATGGCAGCTGGACCACTTCAGCCCATCAGCCTGTAGCAGGAGCAGACATCATTTCCAGGATGGCTCTGAGCTTTCTTTGTGTTTCTGGACCCTTTGCTACGTGGCCCTGTGTTGGTCTAACTGCCGATGTTTATAGTGAGAGCATTAGTGTCTGTCATGGACTGAACTGTATCTTCTCAAAGGACAAGTTGAAGTCCTAATCCCTGGTTGCTGTGAATGTGATCTTACTTGGAAGTGCTATTCTTACAGATGTAATCAAGTTAAGACCATACTGGTCATACTGGACCCTAATCCAGCATGACTGGTGGAGGCAGAGCCATCCAGAGCTATGGGGAAGGAGGCTGTGGAGGCAGAGGCAGAGGTTGGAGTGATGCAGCTGCAAGCCAAGGAAGGCCACAGGTTGCTGGCGGATGGTAGAAACTAGGTCAGGCAAGGAAATATTCTTCTGTGGAGCCTCTGGAAGGAACACAGCCCCACCCAACCTTGCTTTTAGACTTCCAGCCTCCAGAACTACAAGCAAATAAATGTTTGTTGTCCTGAGCCACCTAG